ATTTCGATACCATTAAAAAGATGGTACTTCAGAAGTCCGATTCTGTCTCTATACTAACTAAACAAATCAGACGAACAGCAGAGCATCTAGTTGTTACGAAAACTCTTGGAAAAAAATATAAACCAAATTCAACAAAGAGAAAATTTTTTGATGATTTTACATCCATACCTTTCGGCTTTAAAAAACTCAAAGTATAAAATATAGAACACGCTATGTTTAAAGATTTTTTATTAATATATTACTTTTGTTTTTTTTTGTTTTCAGCAGCGTAATTTGTTTTCCTCTATTTTATGATACAAAGATTGTCTGCCACACCGAAAAGGTGGGTTGCTATAAAGCTGTAGTGAGTTGTCGTTTGTCCTATCTACCTAAAAAGATACTTTGTCAGATCGTCAAAAGATGTTCAGTCAAGGCCACTAAAAGACATCCAATACGGATCATGTATTAGATAATGAACGGCTCATTTAACCTTAGTATTAACTACAGTTACACTTTAATAAATATAATATAAATAATGTTAATAAAAAAGATGCCCGACGAATCAATAAAAGATACCTACTGAATCATACAGTTTTATATACCTTAAAAGATGTTCAGTTAAGGTCATTAAAAGATATCCGTCACAGGTCTCATTGTATTTTGATAAAATGTAATATAAATAATGTTAATAAAAGATACCTGACGCATCAATAAAAAGATACCTGCTGAACCATATAGTTTTATATAGTTTAAAAAGATGTTCAGTTAAGGTCACTAAAAGATATTCGATACGGGTCATAGAGTGGTTAATGAGCCTTTCATTTAACCCTCGTATTATGTGCTCTTGTTCTTTGATAAAATGTAGTATAAAATGTTAATAAAAGATGCCTATTGAACCACTTTCCTATATTTTTAAAATGTATCAAAAAAATATATTTTTTTGTATTTTTATAACATTACAGTTTTGCTCGTCTAATGTGTGGTAGTTTATCTTGAATCAACATCAGATTTAAATGATTCCTCTGACAAAATTTAGTGGTTGTAGGCCTTTTGGGACGGTGTCCACGTTAAAAAAAAAACACCAACGAGCCACGTGTTGTACCTCCTGGGTGGTTTGGAAATCAACACCTTCAATATTTTCTTTGATCCAAAAAATATTACCGTCATTCTCTTTTTCTTCACAGTAATATGTCACCTACCTCGTCAAATTAAACTTTTAGACACTATATGATGTTGTGTTACTTTTTTTATTTTTTCTAATTATTCTCCTCGCTTTTTCTCTTTACAACGATATGTCCACTATTAGATCTTTATAGCACTTTTTATACTTTATCATAAGCTTTTAGCGTTGCCAATTACCCTATATAATTTGAATCTTCTATCTCAAAATATACCTGCTACACTTTAGAGCTGAATATGTGGTGGTCCTCTTGGAGTATAAAACGGACGGTCGACTTTATCCCGCACGGATGCACGAATGTGTACCTTTACGAAGGGAGTTGTACATAAACCTATAAGTTGATCGTAATCCATATCTGCAAAGTATGTTGTCGACTTGGGTTAGTATATACAGTGCATTCCGTATGTTTTATAAACATGATCAGGGGAAATTGTTGCCTGATGGCTATCAAAGAACCGTCTACGACCAACAGATATTCTTACCGGAGACCTATGTTCAATATAAGTTTTTAATTCATGTTTGACGTAGATAAAATATAGTGTGCAACTCTTTACGGTTAACTTTCAGCATTGAAACATTACAGGTTTGATATGCGCCAAATAGAACTGTGTCAATAAAATCAAATTTACCTTGTACATGTATTTTTCATCCTTGGTGCCCTATCTCTCTCTCTTATATGTAACTATACGTTATATTAATAACGAAGATACTGTGTAGTGCTCTTTTGGCAGTGTCTGTTTTTCTATCTTAATATATTCGCTATCCCCTTTCATTTAATGCGTCACACGCTCCAATCGATCCAGTAACAACGGTGATATGCCCTTTCGCTATACTGCTATCTTCGATTTTTCTATATCGTTATAATCTATTCGCTAAATACGTCTCTTTATATTAAGGCTTTTAGACACTATAAAAAAGAAGAATTGCATTAAAATGAATTGACAGTTGACGCTGACAGAAGAAGATTTGACAGATGGAAAAGAAGAAGAGTTAAGACGTGACAAATAATTTGACATATGGTTCGGGTCTTGGCTAATCTGTTCCGGTCTTGGCTAAGTCGGCCGGTAATGCAGATCCAATGCTTACCGACATTGGCGCCATGTCTGTCTGGCTGTCTGGCCCAACCGACCCATACTCTGCTTCCACAGTTGCTCTTGAACCTTTAGAAATTGATGCTATTTTTTTGTTGGAGTGATTATTGTTCAATACTAAAGTTTTTATTTGTACTATTTTCCTTGGTGAGATGTTTTTGGCTTCTCCCATGATGTTCTGGTACCACTGGTGTAACAAACATGCAATGTTTGCTAAATTCATAAAAAATAGTATACGACTGTCAGAATATCACTAGAGAGCAATGAAAACTATTTATTATATCTGAAAAAAAAAATCTAGAGAACAAATAAATAGATGACAGATCAATGTATAATAGAAAAATGGGATTTTGGTTTTAAATTCAGCAAGAGTAATGTTCAAGAGGTCGCTCATACAAAAAGTGGTCCTAATTTATTAAACAGTTTTGTATAAATCCATTTTAACTGCGTTAGTGTGCCTAGATAAATTAGCACGAGAGGTGTTTTGGGGTATGTCATACCCCAAACAAAACTAACGCAGAAAGTTAAAATTTTGAAATTGAATAATTTTAAATGGTTAATATTGGTTTTTTAATTATTTATGATTCAAATAAATTAAATATGGTACTGTAAAAGTCTTATAGTTAAATGGCAAACATCATTTATTCAACATATTACAATTATGCTAGTCAAAAAACGAGAGTGAACAATAATACACTCAGACATTATGAAAAATTTTATTGATCACACAACTCTAAATAAACTTATAGCCTAAGATTCTATAAACTAAAGAAAAAAATGTTCTCCAAAATACATTGAAAAATAAAAAAGTTACGACTCCTCAAAATTGTCGCAATTTGAACACGTCATTATTGCGTGTTCCAAACAAATTGGAGTATCACATCGGATGCATATGTAAAAAGTCTTGCTATTTTTATTTCTTAGACAAACAGGACATCTACTGCTTGTCCTACGTCGCTTAGGTTCCAACTGATGTTGCAACAGCAACTCTGGTTGCTGATTATCACGTATTGGTCGACGCAAGGAAGGGTTTTGTGTTCGTTGGTTTCAAAACTTAGAAATCAGCTGCACACCCAGTTCTTTCAAAAAAATTCGTCTTTTTAATTTATTTTTGTATATGTTTTATATATAGAGCATTCACTCCAGGTGTATTCAAAAACAAAAAAAATAGTGTCAAAGTCCAACGACGACTATTTCTTGATACGCTGTAATTAGCAGACAGCTTATCCAATGTGTCTACACCGCTTTTGGTTGAATTGTAAAAGTCGATAATTTCAGGTAATTTCTGTTTACCAGTTTCTTCAATTATAGTATCATCATGATGCAATGTAGAAAAGAGGATTACATTTTTTGACTTTTTTGGCACATATGAGACAGCCGTTATATCTTTTTTGAAGGCAAATTTTGAACTGCGAATTTCTCTTCCTCGTGTGTTCAGAAGAGCAGTTGGAATTTGCCTTTTGTTCTTCCTAACTGTCCCAACCGATGTAAGATGATGAGTCTGATTATGAGCGGATAACTGATAAACCAGTTATCAAAAGTAACGTTTAGTGCCAGAAACTGGCCCAATCAAACGTTCAACTATGTTTTGTGGATTGTTACTTTATCGGAAGGGTCCTTCTGGATGTGTGCCGACGTAAACTTCTATGTTTAAACAGTATCGAGTTTTGGCATCCACGACTTCAGCGATTACAAATTTTCGTCTTGTAAGATGTTGACTTGGTGTATAGTGTGTCTTACAGTTGACAACGAGTTGATCAAATACCTCTAATTGCTGCCAATTTGTCGATCTGTTTCCGTTCTACTCTATTTTGCATATTGTCGAATCGCAAACATTGCAATAAAATGGAATATCTTTGTTGCGGCATTGTTGTTCGAATGAGATCAATACCGCTGTCATCAATACACCAAGTAAATATGTAATTAGATTATCCGACCTTGTCCTCACTTTTTTGTTTTTTGGACACTTTGATTTATCTTTATCTAAAAAGTATCTCTTACCATTATTCTCACTACCACTTTCTGAACCACTTGAAAATTCAATCTCTTCTTCAGCCTCCACTTCTTCAGAATCCTCCCTTTTGTGTGCTGTCTCTCCTTGAGTCCCTTCTTCCAATATGATTGCCTCTTGACTTTCTAATGCGGTTTGCCTCAGATTCACTATCAATGAAAGATTTATCATCGTCAAAAATACTGCCAAACTACGCCCATAAACATTTGTTGTTCTTGTTCGTAAGACAGAATTATTCTATAATTCAGTATCGCTGAAAGAAAAATAAAAATCATAGTACATCTCGAAAAAATATCAAGTAAATTTACCTCTAGAACACAAAACAGCTAAAAGTTACACCAGTAGTGTACTGTAAACAACTGAAAACAATGTTTTTAAATTAAATAAACTTTAAAGAAAACGATTAACTTCAGAGAAAAATTACAATTAACCTTTTTTATTCACAATGGTACAAAAAAATGATAAAATATTAAAAACGAATGTTCACAAAAAAAAATAAAAACTATTAAAGCTATTTCACTAACGCAAAAACTAGTTCGTCTCTGTCTCACTGAAGAGAACTGCATTTTTTTAGCAATGCCGGATATCATTGATTCGTTCGTAGATCGACACCACTAAATGATTACGTCTGGTCCACAACATTATTATGAATTATCTCTACACATGTTTATTATTTCTAAAAATAAGTCATGTCAAATTAAACCTACTAAAGACTAAACAAAAAAACTTAAAATAATGTGTATCCTCAATATATTTCAAGATTTTTTTAGAAACTTTAATAAATTTACAACGTATCCAAAGATAGTTTATTAGTTACAAATCTGTAAACAATTTTTATATGCATTATTAATAGAGATGTATAATATTGTAAAAAAATCTTCTCTTTAGTTTTGTATGTTGTAAAAGTATCTAAACAGGATCTGTTAATGTATACAAACTGGCGGTAAAAACTATGTCTCTCTTTATGGATGCAGACGCCTCTTCCATTTTGTTTTTGAGTTCAGGATCTCCTACAATTCTAGCAGCATCTCTGACGTCCATAATAGTTTCATTTAGTTGTTGAATACATCGCACGATAATACCTTCCTGAATATCTGTCAATTTCATAATTTCTGCAAAAGGCTAAAAATATACATGGTGATGTTACAACAAGATTTTATCCAACTTAAATGATCAATACACACACACACACACACACACACACACACACACACACACACACACACACACACACACACACAGCGCCCACCCATGAGAGCGCCCACCCATGAGAGCGCACACCCATAAGAGCGCCCACCCATGAGAGCGCCCGCCCATGAGAGCGCCCACCCATGAGAGCGCCCACCCATGAGAGCGCTTACCGATGAGAGCGCCCACCCATCAAACTGGCATGGCAAGTAGCAAGTAGCGCGCGTCTAGCATGTTACTTAAAATGTAACCAATGAAAACGAATGATTCAGCGCACACCAAAATGGCAGTGACGTCATTCGTTTCCATTGGTTACATTTTAAGCAACATGCTAGACGCGTGCTATTTGCCACTTGCCATGCCAATTTGGTGGGCGCTCTCCCTTATAAAGAATACTTATTACAAGATTTACAACAATAAATCCCTGATTGAAAAATGGACTTGTCATAATTATCTTCACATGTAGATTTTAAAATTATACCTGGTTTGAAGACAATTTTGAATAAGTGACAATCATATTTTATATTAGAAGAGATCAAATGGTAAAATTTAATAAAAAATATTAGGAATTGATCATCAAACAATTTTTCTTAATATATATAACTTCAAGAGTAAAAGTTATAAGCAACATTAAAGATTCAGAACCAAGTTAAAAAAATACATTTGTTGTTAAATATAAAGCAATTTTTAAAATGACACAGTTTAATAATTTTTATTTGTTTGAGAATTGTATGAACATTATTATTGTATTTTTATACTCCTCTATAAACATATTCGGCGATCAAGAATGTTAACCTGCTAACTCCGCTATTTACTTAAAACGACATTTTAGCGGATTCTGAATCTTTGTACCTTCATACACCATACCGCAAACCCGTCAACTCCAATGTAGTGTAAAAATAACTAAATTTTAAGTGCTCGTTATCCTGCTTTCTCCATAGCGATATTTTTCATATCGCAACACTGCTATCTCCAGTATAACTAATGGTGGCTACAAGTGACCACGTGCTTGTGAGTTGCAAATCGTAGTTTTTCAAAGAAATATTAAAGAAAATTTGTATTCTTCGTATTTTTGATAGAGAGATAAGTGTATTTCATTGTTAAATTAACGCATGATAAGAAAAATAATTATATTCATTGCTAATGATATATGATATGGAGAAAACACCTCGAGAATTAAAAGAAATATGTTATTGCAAGACCAAAAAAAATGGATTACTTAAGTGTAATAAAATTTCTGAGGAAGAGAGAAACGTAATATTTAAGTATTTTTGGAATTTAAGATAGAGAGAAAAAAAGGGATTTGTAGATAATACTGTAAAATCGACTTCTATAAATAGATAGAGAGATAGAAAAGACCCAGAAAAATCTAAACGCAAATAATCTTTCATGTATTATTCTCGAAGCATCGACACAAATATTAGAGTATGCCGCAAAATGTATTTAAATACGGCAGGTATTGGCATATGGACACTTTTAAATTGGAAAAATAACTTTTCGTTACCATTGGAATCCAGTGATTCTGCATCTATGCAAAAGCCTGCCATTTATAGACAAACCAAAAGCCGTAAAAATCCATTTGAAAGCAAAAATACGGCGGTAAAAATGATTTTTTAACGTTCTACCGTGTATGGAGTCACATTATTGTAGAGCTTCTACGAGCAAAAAGTATCTTTTACCAGAGTGGTATTCAAAACAAAAACTATATAAATTTTACGTTAACGATTGGCGTCATTCAAAGAATATAGCTCCATTGTCTATGCTTACGTTCAATAACGTAAAGCTAAACGTCTTTTCCGGCCTAAAAAAGATAAATGTGGGCTATGTGCTGCTTACAAGAATGACCATGTTTCTGAAACTGAGTACAAATTACAACAAAATAATTCCAATAATAAACCTCATGTATATTCAATGGACCTTCAAGCATTCCTGATGGCGCCAAAATCTAATATAAGTAGTTTATATTATAAGACCAAATTATGGGTATAACCTCTGTTTTTTTTTAAATCTACTTATAAAAGACGGCTACTATTATATATGGAATGAGAGTGAGGTAGGATTATCTGCCGAAGAATTTGCCTCTTGCTTTCATCATTTTATGGAAAACTGTGCAATACTACTTATAAATTCAAGCGAGCAAAATCCAGAAATCATTATGTGTAGCGATGGTTGTACATATCACAACCGTAACGCTGTACTGTCCAAGCAGCTGTAAATTTGGCCAAAATATATAACATAAGTATTATAAAGAAATACCTAGAGGCTGGGCAGACGCAAATGGATGTAGATGCAATGCTTTCTACCATTAAGCATTGCGTAAAAGATAAGAAAATTAATGTACCTGCAGGTTATGCAAACTTTTCCAAAATTGCGAAGAATAAATCTGGACCATACACAGTCGAGTATTCGGATCAATTATTGTTCTTCAAATCTTTTAAAAAGGTTGATTTGGTTAAAAGTATTAGACCTGGCAAGAGGAAGGGAGACCCGAAAGTAAGTTGTATCCCCGCCACTATTTATTTTGCATGATATTTAATAGTATTTTCTATTTTAGGTAACCGATATTCGCAGTTTAAAGTACACTACAAATGGACTATTTTTTTAATTGCGCTTTAATGACGAATGGGAGACTCCACAGCGTATACCAAAGTCTATGGAGACTTGTTCTTGGCGTGAACTTGGTAGTCTGCATGTAAACCGTATAAAAATAAAAATTAAAAAGTATACAGATTTCTAGGAGCTAAAATCTACTTTACCGGCAGACAACCATGAATATTATAACAATGTTCCTCACGAAAAACGGTAGATGTAATAACTTTAACAATTTTTATTTTAAATTTTATAAGTTTTGCTTTTTTGTAGTATCAACTAGTATTAATTTTGTTAAGAGTTTAAGCTACTGATTGTTTTATTAAAACTATGTTATATTCTAGCGTAAATACATAAATGAAAATTAAACCCTTTAATTTTTCATGTATAAAAATATAACTGTCAACTCCAGATGGGGTTCAACATATATATATATATATATATATATATATATATATATATATATATATATATATATATATATATATATATATATATATATATATATATATATATTCTTGAAAATCTGCCAAATCCATTTTTTAGTTCCGTAAACTAAATGTACGAACATTATTTAAACAAAAATAGTTAAATAACTCCTGTACTACTCCTGTAAATAAATAGTGATAAAAAAATTTCGTCAACATTAGTAATGGATAAACTAAAATTTTTTTTTATCTCCTGAAAACTTGACCATTCTTAAGTTGACAGGTTAACACTCTTAACCGACGATATGTTGCTTGGAGTTAAAAATCAACAAATAAATATTTCTTTAAAAGTTTACACTTCAACTGGCTCAAGTACAACATTTGATTGTTGTCACAGATCCAAATTTATCTTTCACCATCTACAATTGTTAACCATTAAAATTTGTTAAAGCAGCATATAATTTAAATATAACCGTTATTTAAGGCATGTAAAAATTTGGAATTTGGTGCAATATATTGAACCATTTTATTCTTCGGATCGCCCTCTCAACATCTAACCTTTACTATGGTTTCTGTTTCATACACCTCTGTTTCATGTGCCTCTGTAAACTGAGGGGTACTTAAGAAAGGAGGAATATGTAAGTGTACACCCTCAGGCAATAAATCTTTAATTAAGAAACCTTTATCCGCTAGAATAACACCACCGTAGCTCATTTGGTCTAGAATTCCACAGTTTTTAACAATTTTTGTTTATCTTATGGGAGAAATACATGCAAATCAGATTTTTTGTTTGGAAAGGTTTTCAAAATTCCCACCCATTGTGACGTCACAGCTTAGGTAGTCCATAATGTGCTGAACCGTTGATGAACATTTATTTGCCATTTTGGATATGTCTCTTTGGTTATATCCATTTCTATGGTGAGTAATAATTAAATTTCTTTCACTAATCGTAGTGGGGCCACCCTTCTTCTTTAAGTGCCATCTCCGCGACGAAGTTTGGCAATCATCATGGCTATTATGACTTTCGAGCGACCCATTCTTAAATAATTTTGTTATACTTTTTAATATCAAATTTAACATAAAATGAACTGCAATTAGAATTTAATGCAACGCCTACATCGCAAATTTCAAATTGATAAGTTGTGTAATGCTTCATCTTATGTGCATCATTTTAGTTGTGACATCAAAATCATACATAAAATAATTAAATATTTATTGTTAATATGGTATATTTAAAACCCAAAAAATAGCTTATGGTATTTTAGAAGACTTATAGTAATTTAATTTCAGTATGTAATTTTTTTCTAATAAATATTGAGACGCTTTTATCGCGTAGCGACTGCATCATTTAGGCTGTGAGCCACTGTATATTAAACTCTAATGATTGCTTGTCAGATTTCAGCGAACTTACTTTATTAGTAGCCCATTCATAAACAAAATGAACTAATCCAAAATTCAATTCTTCTTGAAACTCATCAGTCTGAATGCCCAAACTTAACTCTTTTGTACCTATTTCTCTATGCACATCTTGAATTTCTTTAATAGCCTAAAAAACGTATAATTTTGACTAATATCTGTGACTTGATCAATATAATTATTCAATAAAATAAAAAATAATTGTATAAAAGAAGAAATAATTTGGCAATCAAAAGTCATTCAAGCAAATATATATATATATATAATATATATATATATATATATATATATATATATATATATAGAAAAGAAATTTAATCTTTGCAGATAAGTTAAATAGTAAACTCTTAAATATTGGGGAAATCTGCAAGAAAACTCTAATGTGTATCAATTATTTCGCCTAACGTTTTCGCCAAAGAGAATTAATTTCAGGGCTGAAAGAGAATAAATTAAAATTAGCTACCATATATTATCTAATAAAAAACATTTACCTTACCGTATATTTTAGAAATGTCGAGTTATGATGTTAAAAAACTTTAGCTAGTAACAACATAGTGGTGTTTTTTTGTTACTATGTGCAAAAAAGTTTATTTGTTAACGTTGGAAATGTATGGTAGCTTTGAACTTAAAACGCAAAGGTTTACCCAAGGTTAATCGAAAAACCCAATGTAACTACATTTAAAGGAAGTAATTCTTTGAATTGTCGGCAATAACTAAATTTTTGATTGTTGTAAAGTTTGAATGTGAGCTTCTGTTTTCATAGAACGCAAGCGCCGAACAATTACAAGTAGGCCTTTTGAATAACTATGTCGTTAAGGTTCATTGGTAAAACCGATGAAGTTAGATCCCAGTCTGGGGAGATATTAGTTTAGAATTTTCTTAATTGAAATTCTTTTTTAATTAGTATATTGTTCATGTATTATTATAATAATATCTTATTGAGATGTATCTAAGAAAAGCAAGGGAATGTTATCTTTTGAGCTTAATGTGGCTTGTAGATCAGCCCTAACAATTAATAATCTTTATTCTAAGATAAAAGATAAGACTCCCATAGATAGGCTTAGTAATATTGTCTACAACATTCCATGCCTCTCTTGCAGCAATTCCTACATCGGCCAAACATCTCAATTATTGAAATCACGTATTACACTACACAAAAGTGATTCTCGACTTCACCCTGACCGCTGTGCATTAGCACATGTCCATTCCACTGGTCATCACATGGACTATACGAACACTACAATTCTCCACCGTGAGAACAATAAATCTAAAAGAGAGTTCATTGAAATGTCTTATATTTTCCTTAACGATTTTTCCATCAATGTTAAGAGTGACATTAAGAATCTAAGCGATATATACCACTTCTTACTTAAATCAGATACCAAGAACAATACAACATCACAGATAACCAACTTGGCTGATATATCTATTAACAACTAACCTACTTTAATAATAATTTTCATTAACTAAAAAAGATAACATTCCCTTGCTTTTCTTAGATACATCTCAATAAGATATTATTATAATAATACATAAACAATATGCTAATTAAAAAAGAATTTCAATTAAGAAAATTCTAAACTAATATCTCCCCAGACTGGGATCTAACTTCATCGGTTTTACCAATGAACCTTAACGACATAGTTATTCAAAAGGCCTACTTGTAATTGTTCGGCGCTTGCGTTCTATGAAAACAGAAGCTCACATTCAAACTTTACAACAATCAAAAATTTAGTTATTGCCGACAATTCAAAGAATTACTTCCTTTAAATGTAGTTACATTGGGTTTTTCGATTAACCTAGGGTAAACCTTTGCGTTTTAAGTTCAAAGCTACCATACATTTCCAACGTTAACAAATAAACTTTTTTGCACATAGTAACAAAAAAACACCACTATGTTGTTACTAGCTAAAGTTTTTTAACATCATAACTCGACATTTCTAAAATATACGGTAAGGTAAATGTTTTTTTATTAGATAATATATGGTAGCTAATTTTAATTTATTCTCTTTCAGCCCTGAAGAAGCCAAATTAATTCTCTTTGGCGAAAACGTTAGGCGAAATAATTGATACACATTAGAGTTTTCTTGCAGATTTCCCCAATATTTACGAGTTTACTATATATATATATATATATATATATATATATATATATATATATATATATATATATATATATATATATATATATATATACCGGTTATTGTGACAAAGTGTCAAAAGGCCGATGATTGGTGATTAAAATGTGTTTTCTACAATAATTATATCATAAAACTAATTATAATATATTTCAGTTCTCTTGATAAAGAAACTAAACAGTTTCAAAAGTTCGGCTTTTAATAAAAGAGTCTACATATTTTAGTGTTTTAATTACTAGGCCTTTTGAATCACAAACGCAAGCAACTTTACGAATATTTGGAAGTTTTATATATACAGGGTGGTCCTTAAGTAATTGTACAAAAAGAAACCGTAGATTCTGCACTTAAAAATATTACGATTGAAGTCAACTTTCTTTAATAAAATGTTGATATTAAGAAAGATACAGGGTGGTAAAGTGAAAATTTAAAATTTTATTTTTCGCTATAACTTTCACGTTTGTAAAGATTATAGATAAAAATTTACAACTTTTGAATATGGGAATTATAATTTGATGCACTTTTTTATCTAGCTGATAGAGGACGCCACATATGCCACATATGTGGGATAAATTTGCACTTAACTTTTTTGCTCTGATGATGAGATGAGATTTATTTACTTATTTTATAAAATGATTTGATTGATTTATTGGAAGAATTGTCATCAAACTTAAGGCGAAATATGTGGTTTATGCAAGATGGTACACCACCACATTATAGAGAGAGGACAGTGAGAACATAATTAAATACAACTTTCCTGAACGTTGGATTATTCGTGGTAGTCATATTCCTTGGTCATGTGGTGAGATATTAATATAATATTTATTATATATTATACTTATAATACTTATTATAAATACTGCAGCAGTTTCTTTAGAACCAATGATGTTATTTAATATGAGACGATCTTTTATGGAATGTATTGACAAATGAATTAAAAACTTACTTTGACAAAAAGTGTGATGTTATTTAGTTTAACTATTTCTTAATTTGGTTTGTAAATAAATTATTTTGATTATGACTTTAATTTAATACAAAACGTAAAATGTTTGATGTAAAATTCAATTATTCTGTTATTTTGTCACATCCTACTATTAACTTTCCTACTGATATATTTATTTTATTTAATATTTCGTTAACTATTAACTTTATTAAAGGCATTTTATACCATAATTCAGAAGTATTGATGATTTTGTCTAATTTTCTTTCGTTGCCTGGAGTAATTGCGTTAAATCAGAATTATGTAATTGATTTGTAAAATGCAATTATCTCAAAAACTGTTGAGTTTTGAAGATATTCCATTTTTTTGTTAAAATCATGTATCTTTAATATTTTTTATCACAAACACCGGTAACTTACAGAGTAAAAAAGTTAAGTGCAAATGTATGCCACATATGTGGCACCTTCTATCAGCTACATTAAAAATGCATCAAATTATAGTTATTGATGTTCAATAGTATCCAGTTATAAATTTTTATACATACATGTTCACAATCATGAAAGTTATAGCGAAAATTAAAATTTTAAATTTTCACTTTAACACCCTGTATCTTCTTTCTTAACATCAACATTTTATTAAAGCAATTTGGCTTAAATCGTAATATTTTAAAGTGTATAATCTACGGTTTCTTTTTGTACAATTACTTAAGGACCACCCTGTATATATATATATATATATATATATATATATATATATATATATTATTATTATTATTAAACTAAACTAAATTATATTTATATTTACTTTTCTTAAGTCAGGAGTTAATCCATCATCATCAAAAGCTTCGTCTTGTGATCGACCTCTGAACACCAAAGCTGATAACAAAGATGCTACTTCGGCAGCTTTAAGCTTGGTTAAAATATTTCTTAGGATTAGTTCGGTTAATAATAACTCATTCATGCCTATTTCACAAGCTACATAGCCCTTAAGCTGAACTAGAAATAAAAATAAATTATGTTACTTTAAATAAATCATTCTAAACATTATTAGAATTTAAGAAAAGAAATGTGAAAGGTAAGATTTTGTTAACTTTATCAAAGAGGAGTTACTGGAGAACAAAATGTCGATATATGTTAAAAAATAATAATAATCGCACAGTCTAGCGTGATTTTCAATAAATGATGATATTAACAGAATCCTTCGATTATCAGATGAAAGGTGATATTAATATTCGTTAATATACAGTACACATTACCTGTACAGTGAAATTTTTCTAAAAAAAAATTCCCACAATTTTTTTAATAAAATTACACCTAAAATACCCCACATATAGTAAATCTGTAAAATATTTATATTCCCTACAATAAACTTTTTTCGGGAGGCCGTGAGTACTGATAAAAATATGCGCGTAAATAGAAAATAAAGTATCATGAGATAAGATAGAATTTAAAAGACAGAAATAGAAAGTTAGAATCTTATTTCAAACTGAAAAATTATTATTCTTAGTCGCTGCATAATCCATCCGAGCAATAAATTTCTTCATCATTGATTCATCAGAGTGATTCATTAGAATCACTCTTTGTCAATCACCTGATACTCAAGTCAATTATAATTTGATCAAAAACTGCAAAACTGAATAAAAAAAGTATCCTCAATTTAAACGACTTACACGAGCACACTAGGACGATCTAAAGCTACCACCTTAGAAAACTGAGGTGGTAGTTCTCAAAGGTAGCCGGGACAAATCCTCTCTTCGCTTTATAGTGGAAGGAGTGGAGGTTGCATAGCCTGAGTTTGTGCCCCTCCAAATATAAAATTTGGCAGTCTTCCGTTTGACATACGACAGTAAGCGACTCCACTACCTCTACGAGTCCGACAACAACTAAGGTGGCGCGATGCCGAAATACGTGAGTGAGGCTCCACCTTACCCATAGTACCTGTGTTGCGAGCGAGTACGTCACCCCCCGGAGATTCCCCCCCCCCCCCCCCCCCGGGGGCGGAAAGATGACACATACGGAGGAATTCCACCTCGCACGTAGACAGGTCGCCGCCGAGGATCACTCCTCTACCACTCCTATATCATTCCAGGTAGGACACCGACACCACTCTCGGTGGTGTAAGGCCGTGAGAGATATTTACGGGCCCAGCTCGTTCAACCTCACCTTTTTTTTACATCTTTTAAGAGAAGAAGGAAAATCTGCATACAGACACCTGTGACTCACACAGGTAGTGTTGGGTTCCTAATACCCTAGCGAAGTTGTGCAGGGGCGAGATGCCCAAGGAATTTAGCCCCGTCACCACTCCGAGACGGTCGGCGTCCAACTAAAAACCTCTCCTCTGTTACACCAGACATCAGGATGGAAGGGCCAGTTAAGGCATACATCTCTCCCGATGCCCTGCTATCACCCGATTCCCATTCTTTCTCCGACACATTCATCCAGGAAACCACACCCACACGAACCACCAAGGACTTTCAACCCCCTGCCTTAGCGAGGCTGCCATCTCTCTCGCGTCGTCTGTCTCTTACTCACTCTTAGTTCGGCCTGCGACAGTCCGAACCCTACCAAGGTGCTACTCGCTTGTCTTAAAATTCGGTTGCGAGTTCCCTCTCTTCTCGTTCTTTTGAGGAGAGCAGCTCCCTGACAAATTTGTGGATCCGTGTCCACCACCACTTTCCCCCCTTATCATTTTCTCCACCATTTCTCTCACGAAATCAAACATTCTGCAGTTACACTCTCTTACAAACTTCTCTCTTTCATTCGCCCAACGCTCACACTCCGTTCAACCTCACCTGGCTCTTGTGGAAGGAGAGTAGAGTGGTCCCACGAGATGCTCGTCTCGGATACTAGGAGTGTAGACCAGTGACCAAGATGACTATGCATCTCGAGTGCGTTTCTACAAACCCGACAATTCGAACGACGGCTCTCCACCTCTTATTTCCTTCCAATTAGTCGCCTCTTACGACAGGCAGGGTCTTCTGGCCTCGGCCGTATTATTATCAATTTCCCTATTTTGCCGAACTTCGTTGATTATTTTCTCTCGTGGTAGATTAGTACATTTTCGACAGTTTTGTACACAACCAAACGATTCAAATTTTTTAATAATACCACTAATAGTTGATGGTGTCGGTATTGGTCTATCTTCATATTGTAAATAAATTTATAATATCACGGTACGAGTTGCCCCCAAAATACCATTTTAAAATGTGTTATACTTTTTCTTCGTTTGTTTACATGGTTTATGGTTAGAAACACAGTTACGTCCCTGGATTATCCAATGTGTGACGACATATAGAAAGACTAATATATATATATATATATATATATATATATATATATATATATCAATGTTTAATTAGATTAAGAGCTTTTTGTTTTGTAGTTGTTACCATACCTGTACGTTCTCAAAAATAAATTTTGTTACGAAAATAAAATTTTTTAAAAATCCGTTTTTGGTTTTGACTTTCGTAACTGTCGCAGTCAGTAGTATTTTTCAAAGTTTTAAAGTGTTTTCAAGTTAGCGCCATTCGTAACTGGCGCAGTCATTCGGATTTTTCGAAGTTGTACAAGTGTTCGTGTTAGCCTTGCCGAATTTCGCGTACAATTTTTCTTTTTAAAGATTAACGGAAAAGATCCAGCTTTCGGGTACGGTAACAGCCAAACATCCAGGGTGAGGAACAAGCATTGTCCACAACCTATTGGAGAAGCCAAGACCAGGGAGAAGGAACCAGCATCGTCCAGAATCCTATTGGTGCAGACGGAGGAACAAACATAGTCTGAAGTCTATAGAAAATGAAAATATTCATGTAAGTGTTTCCTATTTTACCAATATCCATATTTTTACGTATATATTATATATTTTTTGATTCTCGGTGGAAGATATTTTAGATAATTTAGTAAACTTAACATTTAACGAAATGACTCAACCTAATTTTCAATTAATTAAATATCAAGCTGATAATATTCCTAATTTTGATGGCAATCCGAAACAATTAAATAGATTTATTAAATCATGTAAAAATTTCTTAAATAATCATAGTAATAGAGATGCAAATAATCCTATAAATGTTTGTCTATTTGATACTGTTTTAAGTAAATTAACTGACAGAGCAGCAGACCTTATTGCATCAAGAACAGAACTTGATTCTTGGGCAAAAGTTAAAGATTCTCTTATAGTAACATTTTCTGATCAGAGATCAATTGATTGTTTAGTACAAGATATTATTTCAATGAAACCAGAAAGAAATGAAAATGCACAAAATTTTGGTTTAAGAATCCAAGATGGTAGAAGCATTCTTTGTTCAAAAATAAATATGTCTAATGACCAATTAAATGTAAAAATATTAAAAATTCAACAATATGAAGATCTTTGTCTTAAAACTTTTATAAATGGCCTTAATTATCACATGCAGTTAGTAGTCAGATTAAAGAATCCTGATTCGATAGAGCAAGCAATGGCTTTCGCTAAAGAAGAAGAAACTTTTATTTCTTTCAAAAATCGAAGTAATAATACAAGACCCTCAAATTTTAATAATTCTCGATCCTATAATAATTCTAATAGAAATTCAAATATTAGTTCCCAACACTCTTCATTTCCAAATAGAAATTTTTTTCGAAATCAGAATTTTTCTAATTATAATAATTTTCAAAATCGACATTCTTCTCAAAGTTCTAGTCAATGCAGAAATAATAATTTTTTTCGAAATCCAAATAATAATTTTCAAAATCGTCCAAGTTTTTCGAACAATGGTTTTAATAATAATAATAGTAACCAATTTCCAAGACAATTTCCAAATATACCTAGATATCAGCCATCTATTCCTACCCAAAGTCAAAGCAGAAATTCAATGCGACCTGAGCCAATGGATACAAGCTCCAATAACTTTAGTTTACGAAGTAACTTTAGAAATGATAGACGTTCTCCAAATAATTTATTTAATCATAAAATAACGAGTAATAATGTAAGAGAAGAAAGATATAATGATAATGAAAGAATATATATTAATAATAATTTAAGAAGATATAATGAAAATGAAAGAATATATAATGATGAAAATTTTCCAGTCCAAGCCTCAACAAGGACAGCCACATAAATTTTAATGCGATTAAACAATATGATAAATTACCTAAGATAATAATTCCAGAAATTAATGTTACATTTTTAATAGATACGGGATCAGAACAAAGCTTTTTTAGACCTGACCTCGCAAAAGAACTTTTTTCGAAATATATAAGTCCTGAGCAATTTGCTGTGCATACTGCATACGCTACTTCAATTCATAATGAAACTATGACCATTCCAATATTCCCTAGTTTCAGAAATCCAAATTGTCATAAATTTTATCTTTTCGATTTCTCTCCTAATTTTGATGGTTTGCTAGGATGCAACTTTTTATCACAAATCAATGCTATTATTGATTTTAAAGATTCAAAACTAAAGACCCCAACCATTTCTCTTCCCATATTTTTTGCATCACAAGACCCAACGAAACAAAAATATTTTAAACCAAGTAAAATAATAATACTACCAAGAACTGTTCAAAAAGTCCCAGTTAACAGAAGATCTGGTACAGCGATACTAAATTATACAAAAATCGGAAATGCAGAAGTTCCTTCATGTTTAATTGATATCAATGATCACAACGCTTTTACTATGATAAGTAACCTAGGAGAAACTCCAGCGGAAATTAAATTTACAGAACCTTTTAATGTAGAATATATTCAAGAAGAAAATTTAAATAATATTCAGTCATATCATATTGAGGAGATGGACATAGAAGAAGAAGAAATAGATTATCTACAAAAAGAAAATCTCAAGAAACTTAGACTTAATCATTGTAACGAAGAAGAATACGAAGCCATAAATAAATTATGTTATGAATATAGAGATATTTTTTATATAGACGGAACGCTCCTTAGTTTTACGAATGAAATAAAGCATAAAATAGATTTAGTTAATGATACTCCGGTTTACACAAGGAATTATAGATATCCGG